CTTTGAACTTCAATTGAATGCTCTTGATTAAGAGATCTTACCTTCATCTTCAACAATTTGTTTTCTTTTTAAATTTGTATCATGAGCACTAAACTTTCAGGGGCTCATGTCATGAGGATTTGGGAAAGAAGGAGAAGAAGGCTTAGCAATAGCATAATTTACATTTGCTAATTTACAATGTAATAACTCAGTCGTATTATGTTTAAAAGTTTTATCAATATAGACTAAGCAAAAATCACAATTTATGTGCTTTCCTTCCTTCGATGATAACTTATTAGGAATGCTATCATTAGCAAAAATTCTTAATTCAAAATTTCATTTATTTGTCATTTGAGAAATATACATCGAACTCTTTTTCCTTTTAGGAACATATTAAACATGATTAATAGATAAAGATGACGCAATAATTAAATTAAACGATATTCTCTAATATTTTTGACAGGATAAAGTGAATGAATAATGATATTAATCAATTTATAACCAAAATAATTACGCAAAGTATCAAAGCAATCCTCATTAACTAATGAGATAATTCAAACAACAATAATCAATAATCAATAATCAATAATCCATCCATGCACAAAGCAACATCGGAACAAAGATATGAGAGGATAGAGTCCAATTACCATCGTTGTCTCCCCCATAATCTCTACTTGATGCAAGTTTTGATTAATTAAGCTTAATTTTGCAATCTTGTTTTGTATGGCCATACTTTCTATATTTATATCAAGTTCCAATGAATTTGATTTTTTTTTCTTTTGATTAGATGGACAAAACAGGCATGTATATGTATGTTAATCTACATTCAACGGACAAACCAAATCTTTATAACACTTATTTTCACATATTGAGAACTCGAATTAAGAATACCAAATTCATCAACATCCTAACTCTTTATCATCCTAGTTCGGTGATGTAATCTCGTTCTCCAAAAATTGGATCTTCTCCTAAATTAGTTTTAAATCAAGTGAAAATCAATCACCATAGGATTGAATTTCCATGAGTTGATAAATAATAGCCACGTAACCTTATTTTTATTGTATTGATTGAAATTATATTATGCTTGCAAAAATTTGATGTAAAAAACTTTGATGGTTGCTCTAATCTTCAGTAAAATTTGGTGTCTGGTCCCCTTAACCTTAGGTATCTCTTTTATCTCTTTTCACTGTCCTCTCTAACATTTCATCTCCCACTAGTTAAGCTTGACCAACTTCTTAAACCTAGTCTCCCACAATTCTAAGACCAATCTAACACCTCCCCAAAGTCTCATCTACATTCTCGCACAACTCCTACAACTTATTAACCCCAAGGTATCTAAGGTAAAAGCCTCATATAAGGAGACAATTTCCTGTTGGGTTAACCAATTTAAAATATGATTTAAATTGTGTTTGAGACATATGCTTAGAAGTGAACATTCATATAAGGCACACAAAAAATGCCTCAAGGTTTACGTTGTTTTGTCTTCAATGAGGTTTATGATTTTTTTGTCTGAGGTGTACACCTCCAAGCTTTATGCCTCGAGGTTTTTGAGGTGAACGCCTCAAATTAGTTAGTATAAATAAGTATTTAATTAATTATGTGAGAAAGTTAATGTTATGTGAGAAAAAATAACTTGTGATATTAAGAATCTTGTACAGTATGTGCTTAGATTATTGAAAGGAAATGCTTATAATAGTGAAAATGGTTGATGATAGAACCACAATGTGTAAGAAAAGATAAAAAATAAAAAACTTTATTATTAAAATGAGTTTAGATATAAAGACTCATAAAATTGAGAAAGATATAGAGTCGTTCGTAGGGAGTCTAAAAAGGTGATTTGCGATGCAAAAAATTTAGCTTTTAATGAGTTATATAATATATTATATATTAAAGATGACTAAAGATATGTATAAGGCCAAGCAAACAAAAATATGAAAAGTAAGGATCTAGTTTAATTGAGGTGCATCAAGAATGAATATTAAAAACTGCTTTCTTAGAAGACGATATTTAACATAGGTTGATGAGAGATTTCAATAAGTTTTGTAGTTAAGACTGTGAGAATATGATTGATTTTAGTGATCTTAGCATCCTAATTGAAAATAGAGTTTTTTATTTTTATTATTGTATTAGTCAAACCCAAGTTGAAGAAGCTTTGAAGAAAATGAAGTGTAGAAAAGTAGCAAGACTTAGGCTTTGTTTGGGACGACTTTCTTACTGCTTCTTAAAGCAGCTATTTAATTTAAAAAGTCTATTTGTTGTACTAAAAAGTTGTTTTAAGAAACAGTAAAAAAGTCATCCCAAACAAAGCCTTAATGATATTCCATTAGATATATGGAAATGTTTAGGAGATCAAGGAATTTCTAAGCTCACTAAGCTTTTTAATATTATTTTGAATGCTAAAAGAATGTAAGATGTGTGAAGGTGTGTGTTGATTCCTATTTTTAAGAATAAAGATGATGTACAAGAGTATGTGAATTATAAAGGAATTAAGATAATGTGTTATACATTAAAACTATGTTAGAGAGTAATTGAGCATAATAGGTTATGATGTGATTCTAATATTTCTCAAAATCAGTTTGGATTTATGTCTTATAGATCTACTTACTACGTAAGTTATACATTTATTGAGAGGTTTGATGGAGAAGTATAGAGAGACTAAGGAGGATTTACATATAATATTTATTAATTTAGATAAAGCACACAATAAAGTTTCAAGATAAGTGTTATGGATAATTTAAAAAAAAAGTGTTAAGAATGTTTATATTCAAGTCATTAAGGATATGTATACATGTGCTATTACTTGTGTTTAAACACGACATGGTTTGATCAAGTATTTTCCTATTTCAGTTGGATTATATAAAGGATCGACTTTAAGCCCATATCTTTTTGTTGTAGTCATGGATGTTCTTACTAGATGCAAGAGGATGTACCCTGGTATATGCTTTTTGTAATGATATTCTTCTTGTTAATAAGACTAGAGAGGGAGTTGAAGAAAAATTTGAATTATAGAGGTTAACCTTAAGAGTCTAAAGGTTTTCATTTGAGTAGATCTAAAACTGAATACATGGAGTGTAATTTTAGTAATAATAGATCTAGCGGGGTGATTGTGATTTGTGATATTGGGCAATGAGGTCATTAAAAAGAGTACACATTTTTAGATATCTTGTGTTTATTGCTCAAAATAATGAGGAAATTGATGGGGATATCATGAGTAGAATTCATGTTGGATGGTTGAAGTGGAGAAATGCATCGGGCCTATTGTGTGATAGAGAATTACCCCCTTAAACTTAAGTGAAAATCCTATGAGATGCTCATGAGAATTGCAATGTTTAGAGCATAGAATGTGGACCATTAAAAGGAAGTAAAAAACAAGTTGAGTGTTATAGAGATAAGGATGTTCAAGTGGATGAGTGGCTTTAGACTTAGAGATAGAATGTAAAATGAGTGTATTCGTGACAAGGTTGGAGTACCTTCAATGGTAGATAAGATTAGTGAGAGTTGCCTTAGATGGTTTGGTCACATAAAACGTCGGCCTTTTGATGACATGGTTAACATAGTAGATGTATTAGATTTGACCCAAGTAAGAAAGGTATAGGTAGACTTAAAAAGACTCGATTAGAAAGTATTTTACAAATGACATTTTTTTAGATTTAAATAAGAATTTAACTCTTGATAGAAGAATACAATAAAGAAAAATGATTGTAGTTGATCCCACATAGCGGAATAAAGGCTTGATGTTGTTGTGTCAAAATACCAATATAAATAAGAAATATTTAGTATTGTAGAGCTTCATGTTCTTGCATGGGCATTAGATCAACTTATTCCCAATGCTGCATGTTTGTTTATCCATCTTTCGATGCTCTTTATGCGTCATCCATACCAAGTCATCATCTTCAACGTTTAACCCACCTTTAGCATTTAAAATTTTATTCTCTCTTAAATCAAGGCAAGGCACTTGCATCTTATATATTAATAATGTTAAATAGCGTGTGATATAACCCATAAGTGATATTTATACAACAAGACATTAGAAAGCAAAATAACTCCTGGTATGTGCCTTATAGAAAACATAACATAACGCACATTGCGCCAGTTATTTTATTTTATTATTTGTCTAGTTTATTTTAGTTATTTTTGTTACACATTAATTTATTTTAGAGTTATTTATCTTATTTTTTCATGCTTAAAACTTTTAATGTAATTAGGGTTTCATTAGTACCCTATGATTCATGCATCCTCGTGATTCTGAACGGACTTTAATGTTACATTTTTATGCAATCCTCTTTGATACTTTTTAACGATGTTTGTGCTCTCCCTATTCTATCCATTTAAAAAATTATTTATGCTATTTTCTTCCTACAAATTTACATGCATTTTCTTGATTGTTGCACTTGGAATTTTTATTTGTTTTTTATATTTAATTTTACTTTATCTAATTTGGTTGATTGCTTGCAGCATTGTGTTATCCCTCTAAGTTTGTATATTGTTGTTTATATTGTTAAATTTATAGGACATTTGTATTATGTTGTGCTATTTTTTATTGACAAGTATGCTCCCCTTGTTTGGATTAATTATTCTATGCAGTCACCAGACGGCATCAAGAGACAAATGAGAGCATTCCATATCATTTTTTTTGTGTACCGTTGTTGTGTACCGGGTGATGTTTGTGCTCTCATTCGACTCCGAACTGTTCGGTGACCGCACAGAATAATTTCTCCCTTGCTTGATGTCTTATGGCTAGGGGCTTGCCTAAACACAGCTTAATAATGATGCCCGCTCGAGAGGTGTGAGAAGCATTTGCCTCACTTGCCTCATACACGCACATACTAGGCACATAGTCCAACTCTCCCTTAACAATGGTGGGATGTGGGCACTTGAAATTATAGCCAAATTCCTCTTCTAATATGACTGGAAATTATCCCAAGCTAAAAATTTTCCATTCTTTCGTCTTTACCTTTATTTTAGTATATATATATTAGAAGTTCCATTGTTCAATGCTAACCATGGTATCAAATCTCCAGGTACCAATTTCCCTGTAGGTCCATGGAAAGATCTCCAACATGCTTGCGCTGAGCATCCAAATCCTCTTGTCCTATAGCACTTTGCATGATATATCAATTAGGACTTGGATGCAGATTTAGGGAATGAAGCCATTGGTCCGGGAGCATTTGTTTTATATTTATGTAACATAATTTATGGTGAATGATTCATGAAAAATTTCAGCTCGGTTACTTATATATTTTTTATCCAATTCTTTCCGGTTACATAATGGTATGTAGCGTTATGTAATCTCTGCTGTATGTTTTTGTTAGCTAACATCAAACTTTTTGCAGCATTTCATCCGCAGCTTATAGCTTTCAGCACAGCTAGAATTTTTTCCAGAAACTTTGTCAATCTTGGCTTTAACAGTCTACATACGAATTTGTTTAGTTGGTTGAATCTGAACTTCATATGCTGTGGATGAAGATTTTGTTTGGGATAGTGTTTTTTATTGTTTTGTTTTTCGGGCTATAATCATAGTTTTATTTGTCATTATTTTTTCACTATATTTTAATATTTTTTTTATATTAATGGTGAAATAGATGGGGATATTATCAGCAGAGTTCAAGTTGAATGGTTAAAGTGAAGGAATGCATCAGGCTTGTTATGTGATAGAAATGTATCCCTCAAATTTAAGGGAAAATTCTATAAGATGGTAGTGAGGCCTGCAATGCTTTATGGTGCCGAAGGTTGGTCGTTAAAAGAGAAGCATAATATTAAGTTAAGTGTGGCAGAGATGAGGATGCTCAGGTGGATGAGTGGCTTTACCTTTAGAGATAGGATACAAAATGAGCATATAGCTTAGAAGATAAGATTAGAGAGAGTCACCTTAGATTGTTTGGTCACATGAAAAGGCGGCCTTCCGATGACCTGGTTAGGAGAGTAGAGGTATTAGATTTGACTTGTGTTAAGAAAAGTAGGGGTAGACCTAAAAAGACTTGGTTAGAAAATATTAGGAATGACCTTTCTTTATTAGATTTAAACGAGAATTTGATTTTTAATAGGACACAATGGAGAAAAAGAATTCATGTAGCCGACCCTATGTAGTGGGATAAAGGCTTGATGTTGTTGTTGTAGGAACCTACTTTCTATAGCAACTTTAAAAAAAAATTATTTTTTCCATAACAATTTTGCAATCAAATTTATAAAAAGCTTCGGTCGTTCTAAATGGATCCGAAGTTATTTCTCACTACTATTTAAAGAGTAGTCTAGTGATAGATAATTAGCCATTTAATTACAAGGCTGCTTATAAATGTTAGTTTTTGTTATGTTATGTCTTCTAATGTTCTATGTGTAATAGCTAAAATTTTTAATTATCGAGATATTATTCATCTCGGCCTAAGAGTCTCACGGTTTTGTTTTGTTGGTGTGATTTTTCAGTAAGTCATCCATTTCATAATTATTCTGGGATGAGCATGCTTAATTGCGGGGTTTTTTTAATAAATTTTAATTATTATACAAAAAAGTACTACAATGTTTAAGAGTTTAGTTTCTTTTATTTAAGGGGTTTCACATTGCGGGTAATGAGGTTGAATTTTTTTTTTTTTTTCATGCATTGAAGAAATTATTAGAATGGTGGACTTATTTTGTAGATTCTTCCGTTTGGCAAACATTGTTTGAAATCATTTTGTTATTGTTGCTTAACATTGTTCGATTCAAAATAGTCATCTTTATTCTTGTAAGTATGGAAATTGTGTTACTTATTGAAAGTTATGGAGCAATATAGTAAATATTGTTGCAAAATTTTCAGTGGGTCGGCATAATATTTTATGGGTCTTCATTAATAATAATTTTACTAATAATTATGACATGTATTCTATTAATTTGGAGCCTCATTAATTATCTGAATTAGGTGATTTTGAACATTTATATTTGGCTAAAATGTGAAACAAATATTATTTAATTATTATTTAATTATTTTAAATAATTAAGTCACATTACTTATCCTTTTGGAGCGTATTTTATAAGAGTAAGAAAGAAACCCCAACTTACTTTAAGTGTAGAGGTTTGATCATTATAATTTTTATGTCCATTAAATAAAAAATGGAAGAAAATAAAAATACAAAAATAAAAAGGGCAAGAAAGCATTAAAGGTTACTTGGGTGAATTAGATAATGAAGGAACCACCACTGAATCTTCTGATTAAGGCTTCGTTTGGGACAACTTTCTTCCTACTTCTTAAAGCAGTTTTCTAGTATAAAATTTTTAATTTTTATACTAAAAAGTTACTTTATGAAGCAGTAAGAAAGCCATCTCAAACGAATTCTAAGAAAATCCAAAAGATATTCTTGTTGGCTGTAAATGACCCCTCCAATGAGATATATGATGATATGACCTATGATGAGTTAGATGATTTGTTATTCAAGTTGAATGGAATTTTAGTTAGCTTGAAGAAGAAATAGTGTGTACTCAAAAATGTGCATGCCAACTTAGATTTTCTATTTTTTAAAAAAATTTAAAATGAGTTACAATGTGCTAGAAAAGAAAATAAAATAAATGCTTATCAACCAAAGCATCCTTATGTGTAAGATTAACTAGAAAAAAAAAACTCATTTTAAAGCTAAGGTTGAATGCTTTCATAGTTTAAGTCATACAAAAATATAGTGCAAGTGTATCTCATGCTTCACTTAATAGTATAAGGGTTTCACATTTTAAAGCATATGCATACAAACATCTTGGGTGCATAACTTATGGAAGCTTGAGACACATTTTTAGAAATTATAACTTTAGTGTTACACATAGAACATCAAAGAATATTTGGATACATAGGATCACACTTGGATAGGTTAATCCATTCATCTTAATTATTTCATCAATGGACCCAAAGCAACTTGGGTTCACAAACTAATGAGTTAAAAACTAAAATGGATTTGATAATCATCTCTAAGTCTTCAAATCCATGAATTTAAAATTCTAAAGATGAAATTGCCAAAATCACGCTAGAAAGTGCATTTGTGAGTTTATTTTCTAAGTCAGGCTTATATTTTACAAAAAAAAAAAGTGAAATCCTAAAGGTATTTTATTTGTTTTGAATGCTTGCAACTTAAATGTCTATGGGATTCATAAATTTTAAAAAATGATAATCATTATTAAGGATGAGTTCCCTATGCAGTAGATAATATATCTAATGCCTTAAAGTTTAAATAATGGCATAAAATTCTTTATCGAAAGTAGATTATTTTTGCTTGGCATCTTTTAGGTTCCCATTAGAAGGCTACAAGATGGTTCTCTTGATTGAAAACTCCTCCTAAACCAATACTAGAAGCATCACATATGACCTCAAATGTCTTTTTAAAACCTAAAAATTTAAGGATCGGAGGCTAGATCATATGGACTTTGATTTATTTCATGGCTTTTTAGGTGAAAGAATTCCAAATAAACTTATCTTTCTTAATGATGTTAGTTTTTTGAGCTACAACGATACTATAATTTTGGATAAACCTTCTATAAAAGGTGGCTAAGCCTTGAAAACTATGGACATCTGTGAAGCTCTTAGGAACCAGCTAATAAAAAAGGACTTTAATTTTGGTAGGATCTACCTTCAAGCCATCAACAGTAAAAATGAACATAAGAAAAGTGACTTTAAGTTGGTGAAAGAAGTCTTTTTTTTTATTGATATAAATCTTTGTATGAGTATAGATCTTAGTATTGAGTAGAAAGCTCAATAAATCTTAGTATGAGTATCAGAGTTCAATTTATAATTCATTATTAAAATTAATAGAATAAGAGTTATTATTTATTCTACAGTTGGCATAATAGGTCACATATAAACATGTTATAGGAATGTCTATTTATTAATGCCTCCTTATAACTCCTAATTGCCACCTCTCTCCTTAGTTTAGTAAAGTTATTAATTCATGTAATTTAACATGACAATAATGCTACTATGCTCAAATGATGATACTTTCACTAAGGAAGAAATCCAAGCCTCCACCAATTAATGACAACATATACTCATCAAAGCATTTTTTTTTTTAAAGATGAAGTCACACGTTCATTAGTCGGCTTACATAAGTAGCCACAGACGCCAGTTGAATGGTCAACTTTGGCTACTTTTATTTATTTTTAGTATCGAGTTACATAATTCAATATTTAATGGTATCCACTTCAAATTTTTCCCTTTAAAATCCTACAAAATCTTAAATCTTATCTCTACTTTGTTTAGCCTTTAACCTAAAATTTAGTAAATCTTGAAATTGGGTGAATTTAAGAAACCTCCAAGTTTCACAAACTCTTCTTCTTTGCATGCTATTGCTCCTGTCGATGTCTTCCCTAATGAGCTACAATTATGACTTCCTAGCTTCTTTATATCTAAGGTCTCGAGAATTGGCGGAGAAAGACAAGGGATTCATATTTAATTAAAAATAATCAAATAAAATAAATTAATTAAAATTTATATTAATATTAATTAACCCAAAAATACTAATTTAAATATAAATTGATTAATTTAGATTAATTATATTTAATTATTTTTTATAACTAATTATAATTTATTAACAAAGATAAAATTGATATAAAAATTTTAATAATTAAATTATTAATATCCAATCAAACAAATTACACACACATGCACTCAAATATAAGTTATTATTTAATTAGCTTAGTAAATATCTAATTTATTATTAGTTAAGATGTTTAATTAGGTTACATATTATTTTATCAATTTAATATAGGTTCATACAAGTAAAGTAAATGCAATAAATATTTGAATCTAATATATCATAAAAAATTTATCTCGACCAGGCATGAATCTCGAGGTAAATTCGAGCTTGAAACTTCCAAAATTAAATTCGGGACCATTCGAACTCTGATTTAAGGAAACTTATAGTCGAACTAAACTTCTCGAAAAAACGAACCCAATGACACTAAATTCAACTCAATCTGAGCCCAAGTGAGTCAAAATCAAGGACCCTAAGCATATTTAGATTGTTCAAACCATAAATTAGATGACCAAATTATCACCAAATGTGACAAGCTTATAATCGAATCGAGCGGCTCGATAAGCCAAATCCAACGAGCCCAAGATTGTCAGATTCTGGCACTACTAAGACACTCAAATACTTGATAAATGGTTTATTATCAAGGTAGTTGATATCAGCCGTCCATTGGAAACACTCCCAACTTGCATTTGATTTTCTCCATATTTACTAGTCATGACATTCCCAAAAAATTATAAATAACCCCTCATTCTTCACATGAAGGGGGACGAAGCAAGGAAGGAAGGGAAAGAAAAGGAAGAATGAAAAGAAATCTTATACCTCTCATTCCACAAAGCTCCTCCTCGGCCACCACCCGGTCACCGATCGTCGCCAAACTTTGACAGGACTTCTATCAGGGCACCAACTGTTATCAGACTTTCGCCCGACCACCTCCCAACAACCGACTGTCACCATGCTACG